TCCCAAACTCAAATATAAAAATTTTCAAATTCTCAAATTGAGACTATTCAAATTTTCAAGTTCAAACTACTCGAATCTCAAATATTTAAATATTCAGACCCACAATTTCCAATATTTGAATACTCACGTCCACAATTTCCACTACTCAAACCTCGAGTAACTCGAATTTCAGAGCTTTCGAGACAATTTCAACAGACGCGCATTCGTTCGTTCAATTTTTTTAACGACTCGATTACGAGTGCGTCGGGAGCAATTAACGCGCTCGCCATTATGCAGAAGTTATCTTGAAAACGGGTCAGAAACTTACGACGCAACGTTTAATTACAGCAAACTTTCAAGTACACGGAATTTCATTTTCCGTCGCTTTACTTAAACATCGAACGAAAAGAAGAATTTCTTTTCAACGATTACTCATATTTCCAGCGATGTCTCGCCCACTTCGCGATTGATATCAACTTAAATTTAAAATTCCCAGAATTTCAACAATTTCTTCTTTTTCTTTTTTAAACGTCCAATACATCAATCATACTGACGTTCGAACGTAACGATAAGATCACCAGAGTTCAAAGAATTAATAGCTAAATATATCTCTTCTAAGCGATAAATCGAACGTAGAAATTTGAAAAGGGACTTCCACGTACAAGGGACTTCCTCTTTAACCGTTGAGAGAAGCGGCAGAGTAGGCTTTCAATTATAAGAGCACTATCAATTATCTCGTTTGTTCAACAAGCTTACGTCTCGTTGCTCACCAATGCCCTGACCTACGAACATACAAACACGGCTGAGACGCAAAAGTGCCGTCGTCAATTTTCCAACTCTCCATTAAATGGAAAAATCCTACCTGAAAAATTCCTAACCTCGAATCAATTCCACTAAACTTCCTCGCTCAAATCGAAATGCAAAAGAAAAGGGAGAACAATTCTCACGATTTCTCACTGGTAACAAAACAAACGAAAGATTACTCGCATAAAAATTGCAAGAATTGAAAAAGAACTTCAAATATTTACCGAAAGGTGAATCAATTTCCGTGTAAATTTTCAACAACACGCCGCTCGTATCGGACACAGGCGTGAAAATGAAGATTCCGGAGAAAGAAAGAAGGTAATACGATTCACATGTCGAATTCATACCGCGTAGCAGGCCCTATATAATCACTTCCTTTATTGCAATATCTGACCGAAGACGTTGACGAATAGCAGAAGGTTGAGAGAGATCCAGCGAATTACAGGGTCACTGAATTTCTCGAGCGCGCGGAATACGCGCGTCCTTCGTCACTTTGTAAGCGGAATATTCAAACCTGCTTCCCTCAGCATCCTCTCTCGAAACATTTGCAAACAAGAAAGAAAAAAGAAGACCAATGGAAAAAGTAGGTAAAAAAAAAAAAAAGGAAGAAAAATTTTCCAACGAAACGAGAAAAAAGAAGGAATTTTTATCCTCGCGATTCAACGTTCTCTCTCTCTCCTCTTTCCACGAAAATAAGTACCGCGTCGGTTAGTCGAGCACACGCGGTCCGTGCACTTGAACGAAACACAGTTTCTGAGAGAAAGAAAGAGAGAGAGAGAGAGATCGCAGTGCGGAGTATCGACGAACGAGTGCAACTTGTCTTATTTGGGTCATTGTATTTTTTGGCAACGTCGAGGCAAACATCAGAGCTTCTCTCTATATGTATATAAGCGCGAGCACTGTTCTCTCCCCGCTGGATCTGGCAATCGCTCGGAAACGATCGTTCCGCGCTGCCTCCTGCTTTACGCTTCTTTAAACCCGATTTCGCTGCCAATCCCCTCATACAACTTGCCCGTAAATTTCTATAATTGGAACCTGCCACCTATCGTCTTACGATCTACCATTATCTATCGATATTGTCTACAATTGTCCAAGAGCTTCCTCCGAGGAAACTCTTTTTTGCAACAATTTCAGGCGCGGTTGAAATCAAAATGGCTACCAGCTGTAAGCTTCTTTCACATGTTTCGTGCAGGAAGAATATAAGCTTCGATCAGATTTTCAAAAGAAATTTTTTAAGTCGTGTTCAAATATTTTATTAACGATAAACATTCGTAGTATTAAATTCTCGGTACTTTGGAACCTAACCTTAAAATCGAGAGTTTTTTTTCCACATGTGTGTACCACAGGTGTCGAAATATCGATTTAAATAGGAAAAAATTTGTGCGATTAACATTGTCATTCTTAATCTGTGGAGTATTATTTATCGATTATGTGAATGACTCGTAAGTAACGTAACCCAATGTTTCGATTGAAAAAAAAATTACTTAGTAGCACTTTTGCAATTCTTCGCGTGAATAATGGCTGAAGAATGAATTGCAACAATGTTACGCCTGTTACAGAATTTTTATCACGTCCTTGCAATCATGCTCTCGAAAGAATTTTCTACTTTTTTTCTCTCCAACTTTCACTGTCCCATAGCTCCCATTTTCTAGCTATCTGAAGTATCCCAGTGGTTTTTTGTCCTCTTACAAACAAGTTAACAACAGTCATTTTCAACGTTTCACGTAAACGTCAACACATGTATTTGCCGTTGCAAACATTTTTTCAAAAACAAAAAATCTGTTATACGAGCTTCAAATTTTAGGTTAGGTTACTCTTAATAATAATATTCTTCTTCTTTGGAGGTGGCAAAGTGAAACTTTCAGAATATATCCCCCGGCGTAATTGAATTCAAAACGGCCTTCAGCCTGTTATCCAATTCACGATCGAGGAAGATCGTAGATCCCGATAGATAAGGGAAATTTACGACGATCGTGTTATAAAAAGAAATTGCAAGTACAGCGGAAAGAGAAAGAAAGAGAGAGATAAAAAAGGAAGCTTTCCATGGAAGAAGAAAAGCGCGAGAATGGCGTTAACGTCGTTTCAGCGATCGATAAACATCTCGAGGAATTTATAACGCGAAATACGCGAGAGCAGCTGCAGTTTCTCTCTTCCTCTCTCCCTCTAATCGTTACTAGGTCGACGAACTTTTTGGCAACATTAAGCAAACATTACGAATGCCGCGTAGACTCCATTTCCATCGACTAAACGTCTTATCCCCCTCGATAAATCGCGAAAGAAATTCAACTCCGTCTAGAAATTCCAAATTCCTTTCCTTTCCATGTGTTACTCTTTTTTAGTTTTTCTTGAGCTCCATTTTTTGGTCTTCCCCAATTTTACGGGTATTTTTACTCACTCGTGGTACCATGCAGCACATATTTCTCATATTCGTTTCTTTTTATCTTTTCTTCTTTCAAATCGATAAATTTTCAATCCTTCCAAATTTTTAATAATTTCTTCCCTTCGTTTTCCTTTATTTCTTATTTTATTTTGTAGCGTAGAGTAGATCTTACGGCAGCCATATTGGATCTCCCTCGTTTTTTAGCTATAAGTTG